GTATATATATATATATATATATATATATATAAATAATTATGTGAATGTTTTATGTATGTTTATGTGAAACAATGTGATATATATATATATATAAATAATGCTCTAGAATTCTGAACCAAGGCAGACTCGTTTAAAATATTAAACGGCTAAAAAGCTGCATTACTGGGTTAATTTTATAAATGTACATGTAAAGGTATTGCTTGTGATAATTATAATATTTTGGTTATTTTACTGTGCGGAAGGTCACCTGTATTATTTAAAATAAATTACTAATTTTCATTCTTTTGGCAAAAGTAATTTCAGGTTTTTTTTTAAATTTCAGTAATCTGCTTCGTTAACCTTATGTAGTCTAATTTGTATGCATTCCTGAAGAGGTTTAGAACATTGTAGCTTTGTCCAGAACGCAAGCTAGTTTATAGATTTATCGTACCCACTGTCATGTTAAAAATAACATTATCTAAAAGAAATGCAATGGTTGTGTAAATGAAATCAGCAAGAACTTTAAAACCTATAAACAGCCTTGTAATTTTGGGACATGTTACGTATATATTCATTGATCATATTCAGTTGAAATTTCATTGAGAAGTTCTCTGCATAATAATATCATTGAATTTTTATTCACTTAGAAGAAGAAGGGTGTTTGGGAACAAGAACTTTACCAACAAATAGTTTATAAGTCACCTAAGCCTTTTTTTCACACCTTTGAAGCTGATGTAAGTATCGTATTGTAGCATAATAATATTTTATTGAAATGTATGAGGATCATGATTTACTTTTTTTGGAGTAGTACATATATACAAGTATATATGTTTAAAATGGAGTGAGAATTTTATTACCATACATTTATTAAATAAATTTTAATATTAGTTGTTCTAAGCTCTTGTTCTTTAAATAGAAATTGGTTCTAATTTTTGTGATGTTTAAATGTTGTGTAATAGATGTGTTATACACTCCTTTTGTAAATTTAATCTCAATGGCACTTTTTTCTTTATACACTGTACAGTTTAGTAAGTTTCAACTTGCATTATTGTAATTCATTTAAGTTCTGCTTTTAATTTGTGTATCTCATTGTAGTAAAGTTTATGGCATAGAATCATGTAGATATTTAAAAATATTTTCATTTACCAATATTTATTTAATTAATGCTATTTTGTCTTTTAGGAAAGCCTGAAAAGTTTGTTTTTTTTCTAAGATAGTCTTAATTTGACTATGATAATTGTTATCTTACAAAAAACGTGAACGTTCAAATAAAAGATTTGATGTGTTTTTTTTTAAATAGTTTAGAGCAGTACTAATTACCAAATAAAATACCATTGAGAGCATATTTTAAAAGCAAATGTTTATCATATTAATTGGCTGACATCTTATTTCTTGTAATGTTTCTGGTTCTTACATAGTAATGTAAGTTTATTGGCAACTTTCAAAATGATATTAGACCTGCTGAGAAAAAATAAGAATGTAGAAGTAATGATAATTTTGATACTTCCATGAATTCATTTTCATGGTTGTTGTTGAATATAATATTTTATACCCATGTTTACGTAACCTCCCAAGCTACCTCCATAGAAGTTGTCTTATTTTCCTTAAATGTGACTGGAGTTACTCTGATGATGAGCAGTAGTACCGCCATTGTATATCTCTTGGATGGTTCTTTCCTACGTTCTTCATCTGGATCCCAGTACTCATGGCTTCCTGCTTCTGTAACTATTGCTGAACCTATCTTGTCTTTGGATGACTTTGATCAGCTCTTCCCACAACCTGTCTTTGCTTCTGGTTCTTCTAATGAGGATCAGATAATACCTACCTTTATCCTTCACTGTTCTGACAACTTAGTTATGTGACATTTCTTCTCTTACTCCAGTTGTCTTTACTAGTTCTTGGGTGAGTGTTTGCTTGCACCTCAACTCTGTAAGACGTTTTTAACCCTTCTTCCCTCACCAGATTTTTGCACTATTGCGAATTCTTCTTTTTTCATTTACCACATTCTCCCTGAATTTATGACTCCTTCTCTGCTGCTTATGGTTGGAATTCTTTTTCTCCTTTTAGTGCTCCTTCTATTGAATCTCATCTCTCAGCCTGGGAATTATCTTCTCTTACTTTGATTCTCATTTACCCTCAGTCCACTCATCTTCTCACCTTCATAGCTTGTCTTTCTCTTTACATTTTCCTTCTAAGGCTGTGCATTACAACCCCAGCAGATTTACTGGGGAAGATTTTACTAATCTGTTCTTCATGCTGACCTGTTTTCTTCTTCAGCTATTGCCAAGTTAACTTGCTTCTTTGTTACTAGGATTGACTTCATTGTGGTGACTTATGTTTTGGACTTGGACTATTTGAGGGAACTCCAATTGGCACCTTTCCTTCATGCAGAAGTTTTTATGGAGTTCCTTGTCTGTTGCCCATTTTTTTTTTTTTTCCCCGTCTGGAGAGATCAGCTAAATTTTCTCTCGGGAGCATTTCTTTGTCTTATAGAGCTCACACCTGTCTATTTCGAAGTAAATCCTGAAAGCTTTCATACAGAGAATGCACTCATTTACCCTAGCTCTATCCTTGGAGGCATGATCTGCTACAACCTCCTTTTTCTTTGGGAGTCTGCTCGTGTGGGTTGGCTGGTCAGGCTCCTAATTCATTATTGACTCACACTCAGTCTCTGCTCCATTTGAGAGCCTTTATCATCTCATTTGTTTGATGTTTTCTCCTTTAAATTTTTAAGATATGAAAGTTTTAGTTTATAAAGGTCTCATGTCTCCCTTTCTTCCTACTTGTAAGGTTTCTTCTCTTATAGGTATGTGTACCTCTTTCGTGACTCTTCTTCACCTGGACATTTCCTTTGTGTCCACATCAGTACATTCTGACAGATCAACAGCCCCATCGCTGTCTTCTTTCATTTCTCTACCTACATCTCTCTGCCTTTCCCTGTCATGGTTGTTTCAACATTTCCACATGAACCTGATGAACATCTGTCTTTCTCAACTCTGAGCATCCATCTTCTTCCATCCTGCCTGGACTTATATCTGTTCAAGAATAATGTGTAAGTCTTGATACTTTCACCATTTTTGATGTTATGGTCTCCTGTGGAATGGTTTTTTTTCTCATCAGTGTTTTTGTTTTTTTGAGATATGGGAAGTCTAATGAGCCTGCCACCATCTTTTTTTTATGGCTTTCTGGACATCCTGTTTTGATCTACTTTGACAATTCCACTGTTGTTTCTTACATCAATCTCCAGGGAGGTATTCTCCATCTTAAGAACTCTGCTTTTTTGTTCTTGAGCTTCTCTTTTAAGCAAGATAACAGCATCTGGTTGTTGGCCTTTCATGATCCAAGAGCTTTGAATTTAGCAGCTGATCATTTATCTCATCTCACCCAAACCGAATCCTTTTGACAGATTCCCATAGTATTTACTACCAAAATTCTTCAGTTTTTCTCCTGGTTTCTTGGTTTTTAGGAAATAATTGCTGTATTCTGCTTCACAGTTGCTTCATTTACTGAGACCACAAACCGAACCACACAAACTCCAGTACTGACTGCATCTATTTTATATCTTAAAACCACATCACTGAGAAATCCTGAAAGTTGCCAGACTATTCCTAGCATAGACTTGTTCACAAAATGTTGGTACCATCCAGTAATTCTAGTGAAAACTATGTTCCAAAGTATTGTCGATTTTTGATGTTATGTATTAAGTTTAAGTTTATATTGTGGTATGCTATGCATAAGTATAGTTAATAATAAATTAAAGTAGTACTAACTGCGTGTAACATTTATTATATGGTTCATACTTAACCCTTTATCATCTCTATCAGTATATCTACTTCAAATGTCTTGTGTGTCGTTTAAGTGCCTCATGTCTGATTTGTTGATTTAAAGCATTGCTACAGAAATGGAAAGGGGTTAAACTATGCTTTAAGGAATAAAAAAAAGTAGTGATGATAATAATAATATCATCAATATAAATTTACATCAATATATAAATGTAGTTTACTTAGTTCTCTTTTCATATATCTTTTAATAAAACAAATAATTGTCCCGAGTTCCTTTTTTCTCTAAAAAGCTTGAAGATAATGGCCTTTTTCTTGTGGAATTGTTTCAAGCTTACCTAATTGCTGTAACAACACAGCGTGATCTGATCGTATTTATTCGAATAGCCTATATTGTGTTTTTAGCATTTAAATAACTTGTTTTTTTTTAAGATCAGCTTAAGCAATGTAATTTTCAGATTAGAAATGTGTGAATAAAAACTAGTGAAAAATTTGACAACTATTAATGTGAAAGTTCACTTTCCAGTTACTCCAGCAACTGGCAATTTTATGTGAGAAAATGGTAGTTTTACTTAATAGACCAATATTGACCATTTTTTGCTTCTACTGCTACCTTGTTTCTGTATGTGTAGAAGATAAATCCAAAATTAGCTTCCTGTGTCATCTAAAATTAGTGCATAATGTTTTCTTATTTACTGAAATTCCAGATCAGTAACTGAGGAGAAGTAGTCCTAAGAATAGATGTCATATATAAAATGTTTAACTGTTTTAGATACCACTTTCTCTTGTAAGGAAAATAGTAAATTTTACAGAATGGAACAAGTCAACTAATGGTTGCTATCAGTGATCCCTCTAAGCTGCACGGCCGCACAACAACCAATCAAGTTCTGTACACTTCATTATTCCAGCCACGCACATCCTCGGTAATGGTGAGGAGTCTCAACACATTGACGGCTTAATGACCCTGGCAGTCAATAGACCAAAACCCCAAATAACCAACTAATAGCATTGCAAAGTGGCCTAATGATCCAATAAGGTCAATGGTCTAAAAATACCCCCCCCCCCCAAAAAAAAAGTGGTAGCACACATCTGCACATTGCCTTAATACTAGTGCACATGAAAAAATTCATTCCGCGCATGGATTAAAATAATTAGAGGGAATATTGGTTAGTACATTAGTACAATATTCAGTAAATGTGAAGTGTTGATTTTTTTTCCCATTTGTGTAGGGCATCAGAAATTCATTATATTATATTTATAACCTATATTTTTGATGGAAATCAGACTGGAATAAATTACAAATAGTTAACTGACGACACCCAGCGGTTTTGTTCTGGAAAAAGGCTTACATTCCTAGAAACAGAATATGAAAGTGATCAGTTTAAATGATCTGGTAGTAAACCTTCATCTAGTATTGAGCCTTAGTCAGTTTTCTACTTATTTTTTAATACCTGTTACTTTTTGTCAAGTTTGTGTAATTCTTTCAAGAGACAATTTTTAAAAAAAGAAGTGAATATTTTTCAGGTTTTCACGAAAATGACTGAATAACAATTTTTTGGTATTTTACTTAAAAATACATTCTCCCTAAGAATCTGGAATGGTTCTTCCCTAAACTGACACAAACTTAAAACACTTTATATTCACCTCCACCCCTAAGAAATTCAGAAAGAATATACATAATATTAGTAGAACTTGTGATCTTTGTTTGGAGCTTTGATACCATCTTACATATGTTTGTAGTTTTGAAAAACGTGTGAAAGTATTTTTATTCTAAGCCATAATAATTATATAGAAAAAATAACCTTGCATCTTTATGGAACTTACCCAAAACCATAAACTTTTATAGAGTTGTCAAGCTGGTTTGAATTTTGCTGATGAAACAGAAGCAAGTTTTTTTAAAAAAGTTGTTGATGAAAAAATTCAGGCTCGTCAGCAACGACGATTGGGTATGTTTTTACTTTTTTTCTGAGCATTTGTAAATAAAAAAACATGTTTGGTGATGAAAATTTCATTTGAAACCAAAAAAATACTCATTTTAGAGTTACATTTCAAACCATTTTAATGTTTAAAGCATTCTTTTTCAAGAAAAAAAGAACTCTATGACATTTCTACACATATTGCAGAAAGCAATATTGCTTCATTTAGTGATGCTTCAAGGTAGTTTGGAATAGGATAGTAATGTGAGTCACGGTGGTCACGTAAGTCCGAAATATAACCCAAAAGTTAATGCATTTGAAGGGATTTTTTGTGTGCTTATTCAGACGTAAAACATCATTAAGATCATTAATAGAGGTAAGCATAAATTCTTGTTCATTATCAATTTAAACAAAATACTTGAATAGTAACGTATTGGTTGATTTGAAAAGTTTATACAGAAGTTAGTCATTCCAAGTTAAGATCCATTATTTTAGATCTTAGAATGTTTCGTTTTGTTTAATGACTTTGAAAAGTTGTAGAGGAATTCTTTTAACTCAAAATACAGCCGTTAATTTAGAGTGATGTAACATTGGCTAAGAGCTGTTGAAGCTGATTAGATTGCACATTTGAAAAATGAAGACACTTTTGTACTTACGAAAGTTATAATATGATTCCAACTGTGATTTTTTTCTTTCAATTTTTTGGCGTATCTCATCTATAGGGCTGGGTGATTAGCAGTTCAAGGAGGTAAAAAAAATATGGTGGCAGATACTGCCAGACAGTTGCCTTTCTGCTAGTCAGTAGTTAAAACTTATTTGCAGTAGTAAAACAATTGACTTATAAAGCTAAAATTGAGCAGAACACTGGTAGCCCATTACATAGCTTTGTGTTTAACAACAAACAAACATAATAGCAATATTTTGGTTTACTTGGATAGCTGGAAAAATTAGGAATTCTAGTTTTGATTAATTGATTATTTTTGTGACACGTGATTTAATCATAACTTTGATTAATTGATTGTTGGAATAAGCAAAAACAGTAATAATCAGAAATATTAATTTTGATTGTTTAGTAAAAATCAGTGTAATTGTAATTTCAGTTAGTCAGTTGGTGCAATAACCGAAAGCAGTAATAACCAGAAAGTAATGTTGATTAACCACTTAAATTTTAATTTCAATTAATTGGTTAAATTGCCAAGCTCTATTTATCTATAGTTTAAAATGTATGTGTATGCACTTTCAGATAATATGGAGATTAAAATCTGTTGTTTTTATTAATTTTGCTGACGATGTTTTAGCTTATTCACTTTGATCCTAGTTTCTTGTAGAGGGCACGACTCTAAACATTAACATACTTTCTTAGTGTACACAAACTCTTCAAATACTCACTTCCCCCCACAGAGTTATACACCGACGGTTTATTGAAGAGTTTGTGTACACTAAGAAAGTATGTTAATGTTTAGAGTCGTGCCACTACTCACTTCCCCCCACAGAGTTATACACGGACGGTTTATATTTAATTTGCAGATTGATACCTGCAAATGCTGATGGCCCTAAGTACAGGATACTGATTTTAAATAACCACTAAAGAAAAACTGAAACATGCAAGAGAATATTTGTTAACTTCAATCAGATATTGGCATTAAAAGCTACAAAAACTGTCAAAAATTAAGTCAAAGATTATAAATAAAAATTCTAGACCCTTTATTGTTTATTAAAAGTCATTTTTCCAAGATTCAGCTTTTAAAATGTCTTCTGTAACTTTACAAAGAAACTGATTATATCAAATGACCACAAGGAATTGTTGGTATACTGTCAATAATCATTCAGAAGCATTTTAATTACTTTCTTTTGATGCTGTGATTTCACAAAATAATGTGCCATATGTGTGTATCACACAGAGTTAACTTTGTTTAGTGAGAAATAAAACTGTCATGTAATTGTGTTATAGTGTGTATGAAACTGTTAGGAAACCAGTAGTTTCATACACACTATAACACAATTACATGACAAAAATACCCGGTTGGGAAACCAGTCGGGTATTTTTGTCATGTAATTGTGTTATAGTGTGTATGAAACTGTTAGGAAACCAGTCAGGTATTTTTGTCATGTAATTGTGTTATAGTGTGTATGAAACTGTTAGGAAACCAGTCGGGTATTTTTGTCATGTAGTTGTATTATAGTGTGTATGAAACTGTTAGAAAACCAGTCGGGTATTTTTGTCATGTAATTGTGTTATAGTGTGTATGAAACTGTTAGGAAAACCAGTTGGGTATTTTTGTCATGTAATTGTGTTATAGTGTGTATGAAACTGTTGGGAAACCTGTTGGGTATTTTTGTCATGTAATTGTGTTATAGTGTGTATGAAACTGTTAGGAAACCAGTCGGGTATTTTTGTCATGTAGTTGTATTATAGTGTGTATGAAACTGTTAGAAAACCAGTTGGGTATTTTTGTCATGTAATTGTGTTATAGTGTGTATGAAACTGTTGGGAAACCAGTCAGGTATTTTTGTCATGTAATTGTGTTATAGTGTGTATGAAACTGTTAGGAAACCAGTCAGGTATTTTTGTCATGTAATTGTGTTATAGTGTGTATGAAACTGTTAGGAAACCAGTCGGGTATTTTTGTCATGTAATTGTGTTATAGTGTGTGTGTGTGTGTGAAACTGTTAGGAAACCAGTCAGGTATTTTTTGATCATTCAGAAGTAACACATGCAGCTTACAAGGTTATGAAGTTTATCATTGTTGATTTAAGCAAATGTTATTTGCTCCCTGGAATTTTGATTTGAAATCCCAACCATTATTTATCAGTGTGATAACATACAACACATAAGTGGCATGTGCTTTTCCATGGGAAGTATCACAGGCATATATTAGTAATTAGGGTTGATACAATACGATTGTAGTCAATACGATACGTATCAAGCTATTGATGCCTTGATACGATACGTATCTAGATACACAAGTTTTATCAACAGTTTGTTACAAAGTTTGACAGTCTTGATAATAAAATTTAATTAGTTTGTTTGTTTGTAATTAAGCACAAAGCTACACAGTGAGCCATCTGTGCTGTGCCCACCACGGGTATCGAAACCCGGATTCTAGCGTTGTAAGTCCGCAGACATACCGCTCTGCCACTGGGGGGCAAAATTTAATTAGGAACAGATGTATAATGTTAATAACTAAGTTATTTAGGGTAAACAAATGTAGTTTCCTGCAACAATCTGAAGTAATTCTAGAAAGAAAAAAAGGATAATTTTGATTTATTTTGTATCTTTTATGGTGGTTACGAGCCTGGTCAAATTGACTGACTTCACATAAAATTAGGGTAGTGAATATAGCATATAAAATATGAAGATTTATTGAAAAAACTTTGGAAATTTATTTCGAAGGTTTTAGAGATTACAAAAAAGAAACTTTTTAATTTTTAGGTGGAGAAAAGTATTTTGAATCTTTACACTCGGAGCAGTGACTACTTTGACTCCATATATCAAAACATTAATTTTTAACAAAAAATACTTTATTAGAAATTTTGATTTTTTCTGTACAAAAGACTTGTAATGTTCACTGAAAGCTTGCCAAATTTTGTGAAGATACATAAGTCGTATCCTATCAGACAATGTATTGATACAATCGTATTACAGCTTCACAATATGATGCTCATATCGTATCACTGTATCACCATACCCCTATTAGTAATGCATGCTCTCATGAAGTAGTGTTAAATTTAACTGTAAGTAAATTTGCCTTTTACAAGTTACAGTTTAGTCATTCGGAAATATTAATGTTTTTGGACACAGACTTCCAGTGTAGCTTTTAAGCTATTTACTGCTTGGACTTTTTGTTACGTAGTACACAAACTGTGTGTATTTATATGGAATTTACCGCTAATTCAATTACTATAAAAACTTTTCTTTAAATAAATGAAAATTGAAAAATAAACTAAATCTGTATAAGTATAATGATATTAGTTTTATCCTTATTTTATATACAGATAGTACCACGCAAGATATTAACGTGTTTTAAGTATGCTAATTCCACAATGATAAACTTCTGTATCCAACCATTAGATGTATTAATTTAAATGTCAATGATCAGAATATTTTAATGGGTTTTTAACAAACTTTTGTTTGCTTTTACTGTAAATTACAGAAAGAAAACGAGCACAAAATAATGCAGTTCAGCCTACTCAGATGGGAATCACACTTACAGGTAAGACGTATACTTTTAAAATTATAGTTTGATTTCATGAATGACCAGATTAACTTGTTTCTCTTAACTGCATATGCTTGTTTGATCAATCTTCATACCTCACTGTTATTGTACTTTATTAACACTTAGTATAGTTTCTCTTGACCATTTTTTCTTTTTTAAAACAATACATCTCTAAATTCTTTACACCATTTTTGTTTCGGGTAACATTGCACCAGAAATGAGCAACACTTATAATAATACATTGAAAGCTACTGTAGACACTTCCAGATTTCCATGGTAGCGTGCATAAAGGCACTTGAATTTCACTTTATCTCACATTTTGCTTTACACGGTCATTCCTAGTTTGCCCCCGAAGAAGAAGAAAGGACCACCTTTCCAAAGCGTTTGGGTTATAGAGTATTGTATTTTTCAATTAAATTGATTTCTCGAACCTCTGTGTTTTCCTAACATTGTTAAGGTTGTTTTATGCTACTTATCAGGGGTAGAAGTTATCTTTTTAAGACAGTAATAAGAATATGCTACCTGCATGAAAAGTTGGTAACAACGTGATCTTATTTGCTAGTTGTTTTACACATTTGTGAGAATATGTATGTAAAAACAGCAAATATTTATACTGGTGTTTTAAATGGATTGGATAACCCACATCACATAGTAGAGTGTATTTACGTGAAACCCCCTTACTGTTAGCGAGTCTGGTACAGTAATATTTACATGAACTAAAATATTGATTAGATTATAATATCTAAATTTCATTTTTTGTAAAGAGTCTAGTAAAAATGTTTACTAAATATCTCAATATGAAGCCAATATTCTATAAACTCTGATCTGATTGATTTTATTCTTCAAACTTTTAGTAATTCAAATGCAACTTACAGATCCAGTCTCCATAAATCCCGATTACCTTAAACTTGCAACCAGGCTACTTCCAAAACAAACATTCTAATATGTTACCATTACACTGAAAAGATTTGTGCAACTTCTTGTTATTCTAAACTAGACATGTTCGTAGAGGTCTGCAACTTGATCAATAGTTACAGAACTTGAAACTTGTATAGTTAACCTTAAAAATGCTGAGTGTTCCTGTATTAAGCCTTTTCATTCCTACTCTCTAGCTCTTATTTCAAACCTTTTATCACACAGTTTTAATTGGCACAATTTTAAGGATATTTATATATGCTCAGTTATTATAGTGTGTATTTTATAAATATCACTCAATTAAGGAAAGTTGGTTAGGCTAATAAGAATCTGGTTTTTTTCATAAGATATTCTGTCTAGTTGTACTTACATGTGCTGCTTTAAAGTGCATTACACTGTCTATGGCATTTTTCTTGTATTTCACTCATTAACCCTTTATCATCTCCACCTGTACATCTACGCCAAATGTCTCGCGTCCCATTTAAGTGCCTTACGTCTAGTTTGTTGTTGTCAAAGCATTGCTATGGTAATAGAAAAAAAAATGTCCATGGATGATAAGAGGTTAACAAAATATACAGTGCAGTATGCTGTTATAGTAGCAGGATGTATTATAAAGAAAGTACAAAAATGAGAAGAAAAAATGTTATTACTTCTCTTGTAATACGTACTTTACTTGGATCGTGATGTAGCTAGCGGCAGTACTCGCTCCATCAGCCACTCACGTACATATAAGACATTCTGCTCTATGGATGAAAACATTGTCTCAATAAAACTTTTTAAACCAGTGGTAGAATTTATATAATAACAATACTTTTAATTTAAATTTTATTAAAAAAGCCTAATGTGCAGATCTTAACTTACCCTAAATTGATCTTCATTGTAGCCGAGAAAGTTTTTTTAAGTAGCTCGAGAAAGAATGGCTTGTTTCAAAATTTTAATGAACTTCGTAAATTAGTGTACGCTATTTACAATCCATTTTCTTCTTTGTAGTTCAACAAGGATATGAAAAGTCAGATGCATTTTCTGGAAAGTCAAAAAAGGGTAAAAAAAATGGAAGGAAATCTAAGATCACAAAGTCTGATATTGGACTCCCTACCAATTTCATGTAAGTAAATAACAAATTGGACTCCTTACCAATTTCATGCAAGTAAATAACAAATTGGACTCCCTACCAACTTCATGCAAGTAAATAACAAATTGGACTCCCTACCAACTTCATGCAAGTAAATAACAAATTGGACTCCCTACCAA